TATTTCCAGGGTGCCTTGATAATTGAAGCAGACTTTGTATTGTTGAAGCTAGATAGGTGAGTAGAGTAAGTTTGATTCCCTGTAAGGACTTCTCTGTTGACATCCACCTCTTGGCGCTCATATGACCTTATGCAGTGACGAGCACCGTAAAACCTCTACTAAAATAAAAGAACTACGTCCTGTTCCCTTCGTCTCGACCTGTTTTTCCTATCAGCTGTCTGCCTTTTTCCCAACAAGAAAAGACATTTATTGTGTTCTTGGACTTTTTCCTAAGTCAGCGCAGGCCTGTGTGCTGTAGCGGTTAGGCGCTTTGCCACTGCACACGGGAGACCCGAGTTTGATTCCCAAATGGGGAGACATTTGTATCGAGTGTCACAACAGTTTTTCTGCAGGGATAATGTATCCCTCTCAGCCTGGGGGTTGGTTCTGACTGGCGCTGTCAGAAGTTGGCCTTTGAAATGGTCTAAATTGGGTCGATAGGGGTGTAAAACGAAACACCTACATTTATAATTGTGTCCATGCTCTTTTTTATAACCTTCATGCGGATGGTTGGCGGATGCTCTGGTGTGGTTTGCTTCTTCTTTCTTATCAAACATCTATCGTCTTTATCTCCTCTCCTTCTTTTTTGTGTTTGTTACTCTCTTGTAACACCTCTAATCTCCGGCACTTAAATGACCTTATTGTGTTGCAAATGCTGTAAAACTCTTACTTAAACTAAAACAACGTTCATGGTTCTCAGGTGATGTCCACACGGAACCGCGAGCGAGTGGCGAAGGATGGCCTGGAGGCTGTCGTCAAAATGACGCGCGACTTTGCCGGTGACCTTGAGATGGCCAAAGCTACGACAGGTGAGTAGTTGGTATTTCGTGTTGGTTTTTTTTTCCTAGTGACTTGTATCAATTTGTCTTATCAGATAATATTTTTGAAACACTTTTAGCTCTATTCTAGAAATTTCCTTAATAAATACTAATAAAAGTGCAATGGGTGGTTTCTACTGATTTTGAAATATTTACAGCTGGGACAATACCGCTTTTAAAAGCAAGTCCGTCTTTTTTTTTCTAATCGTGAGATATTATCTTTATTTTTCTCATGTTTTGAGAACTTTTAGTGCAAAAAAGTGCTCACTATAAAATTAATTTCTTGTAACTAGATTTGCCACTAAAAAGTGTCATAGATGAGCTGTGACGTAGCCCATATATGCGAATGGAAAATGTGTGTGAGAAATGGGAAGTGCTGTGAACAATTTCATTTTCAGTGTGAAGGAGATTTGTAATATTTTATATAAATTTATGAAGAATAATTTTTTGTTCTAGCCTTAATTGTTAAAAAAAATTTGATTAAGTTATGACAAATAGATAAAAAAGATATTTGAGGATAAGTTGCGCCTTGAATTTTTGACTGCTCTATAGTTTTGCCAGTCGTGTAAACACATGATGTGCTTGTGCTGTCAGGTGTTCTGGAGAACATGTTCAAGCTGTCGGAGGAGACGTGCACCAAAGTGATCAACCTGGGTGGTCTGGACGTGATCCTGCGCTGGTGCCGCTGTGGAACCGACTACTCCATCCTGCGGCGCTGCGCCAAAGCTCTGGCCAATCTGGCATTGTTTGGTGGCGCCGACAACCAGGAGATCATGTCCAAACACAAAGTAAGTAAAGGGAGGTGGAGGGGGGTGGGGGGGGGGGGGGGGGTGGTTGGGGACTCCTGGGGTAGATACATCCTTCGTCTTAGTTTGCTTATTGAGGGTTCTATTCTGCTGTGCCAAGGCAGAGCGACGTATCTGCATTTTTTATGATTTTGAATTAAGTCGCGCTGCCATTGGAAATATAGGCACGGCCCTTCAGTTACGTCTGTTAGCCATAGTGAAATATCCTATCTGTAGTGCAGATACGTCTTCCTGCCTTTGACACAAGATGCAGAATGGGTATAGCGTCCATTGAAACGAAAATGAAAAAATTAATAATTGTTACAGATACGTCGGTCTCCCTCGGCACGGCAGTATTTTGCTACAGGATTTTCAAAAGACAAGAAACGAGACTGTCGGAGATCAAATTTGGCTGGGCTCCCAGAGAAACTTGGTGGTAAACATCACCGATCGCGCGTTTTGTGATGGGAGTGAAAGTTCAGGAGTTGTTGCCGATGGGCGAGATGTGACGGCAAAGTGTTAATCCTTTGAAATAAGAAAAGAAAAGACAACTTTGGTGATCCACAAGTTTTTGTCTACTTTCAGGGATGTTGTTTTTCCTGGGGGGTTTTTTCTTCGTTTTTTTCTGCAATTTTCCCTTGAAGAATGATAGTTCTTCTAAGTGTTTGTTTTCTGTCTTGCACCATTTTAGTAGTGACTATTAATTTTTTTAAAATTTGCAAATACAACTTGGTAAATTTCCAGGTATTTTTATTTTTTAACAAAACCGAGTAGCATCTTTGTGATTTATTTCTTGACAGGTCCCAGAATGGTTGTTCCCCTTAGCTTTCAGCGACGACAACAGCATCCGCTACTATGCCTGTTTGGCTATCTCGTCGCTGGTGGCCAACAAAGAGCTTGAAGCCTCGGTCATCAAGTCCGGGACGTTAGATCTGGTATGTTCAAGAATTTCGTGTGGGTGTTTTGTATGGGCGTTAGGTGGTGTTTGAGAAACCGTTTTTGTCATTATATTTCTATACCAGCTGGAAATAATGCCAAGTGACCATAGCTATCCATTGACATGGGAATTTCAATTACTGTCGCGCAGTAAAAGAAAAATTTTTCAACAAAGCGAGAACAGACAGATGTTGTAACTCAAAAGATAAGATGAGATAAATCTTTATTGTTCAGATGCTGGTACTTTGGTTTGATGTTTCACCCCAGACACATTCACTCACACAGACACACAGGCACATACGCACATGCACACGCATGCACACACTCACACATACACTGCACACACACGCACACACACGCGCACACACACACTCACACACCTACGCACACACCCACACACTCACAGACACATACATACACATGCCCGCACACACACGCGTGCACACACACACACACACACTCACACACTCACACACCTGCACACACACCCACATACTCACAGACACATACACGCATACACATGCCCGCACACACACTCTTTCACACACACGCACGCGCGCGCGCACACACACACACACACTCGTACACATGTGCACACACCCATACACTCACTGACACACACTCTCTCTCACATCCTCTCTTCCACACATACAACAAATAATAAAATATATGCTTGCTCTCACAAACAGACTCACAGTCACACGCATAATAGAAATGAACAATAATTGTGAGCAATGGCAGTGTAAAGCCACAACCTACATAATCAGTATTGCGATAGTCACCCGCCAACCACCCACATATTTGTCTACGTCTGCCCCAATAGGTGCTTCCCTTCATCAACTCGAACAAGCCGTCACAGTTCGCCCAGAGCGACGTGACCCACAAGCAAGGCCGCGACAAGATCTGGCTCAAGCACCTCATCCCGCTGCTCTTCTCCCGCAGACAGGAAGCCCAGGCCCTGGCAGCCTTCCACTTTGCCATGGAGGCTATCATCAAGGCGGAGCAGGGCAGGCAGGAGGTAGGTCGATGGTGGG